GTTCATATGTTGCCATCATCATTTTCAACATTTTCTTTCTACTTGAGCCCTTGGCATCAGCTCCTTTTTTCCCCTTCCTCCCCTGCCCTCCCATTCTCGTGAGCCCTTGATAAATTATAAATTATTATTATTTTCATATCTTACACCGTTTGCTGTCTCCCTTCATCCACCTTTCTGTTATTCGTCCTCCTGGGGTGGGGGGAGCGCTATGTAGGGGTTATACATCGATCATTAGGATCGGTTCCCCATTTCTCCTCCTCTCCCCTTCCCCCACCAGACTGTAACTCTTCAGGGGAGTAGAGAACTATGTTTTACTCCCTTGGAGCAGCTGGTGGTTTCAAACTGTTGACCTACACTGACTACCAGTGCTCTACCAAAAACTAAATTACAGGAGAAAAAAAATACAATTCCGAAATCCAAAAATAAAAGATACAAAGTGGAAAGATTCTAAAATGAAATGGGGGTGCCACTGCTAGTTTCTCAAAGAAGTATATGAAAGATGGAAAGACGGCAATATGTATTATCCCTATGAGTAAGTTCTCTGGCCTTCCTTCGCTTTTTATAACTCTGTCCATGATCATCTATGGCTTTTCATGATAGGGAAAAGCCTTTCGTATTTGAACTTCTTTAGGTTTGGACACTCCCATCAGGCTATATGAAATGAATTATGTCTTCTCCTGTTCTCCTGGTGGTGTCGTGGGTTAAAGTTTGGGCTGCTAACTGCAAGATCATCTGTTGAAACTCACCAGCTGCGCCTCGATTCTGGGGCGAAAGATGAGGCTGACTGCTCCCGTGGAATGCACAGTCTTTGAAACTTGTAAGAGTGGTTATACCCTATCCCATAGGGTCATATGAATTGGAATTGAGTCAACACAGGGAGTAGGTCCCCAATATCAGGCTTATAACTTATTCCTTAACATGCAGGGTCATTGTTATTAGTTGCCTTTGAGTTTATGCTGATTCCTGGTGAGCTCTTGTGCCAAAGTAGGCCTGTGTTCCAGAGTTTTCAGGATCAGATCCCCAGGCCTGTCTTTGCAGTGTGTGTTGGAACCAATCATTTTTTGTTGAAGGGTGGGTGGGCTACTATTCTAGTGCATTTTGCACCACTATGAAAATCAACAAAATTTGAATACTAACACCATGACCTAAAATCCAAAGAAATGGAAGAAAGAATCTTGGAACATAAAAAGGTAGTTGAGGGATGCCAACAAAGAAGTACTCTAGGATAAGTCTTAACAATCATTCCAGACACTCAGAGGTTATAAAGATGTACCTGGAGGGACACAAGACTATTCTGGGCTCATGGACTGGCCAGATGGGGAACTCTCATCAACAATTCTTGCAGCCCAGCATGTAACCCATTGTTATACCAGCAGGGCGCCTTTCATCACCAACTCCTTCCCAGCCCCTCGGGATTCTTTTCATAGGGTTCAGGCATGCGCTGGAAATCCCAGTTGTACACACTCGACTTTTCTTCTTTATAGCTACATACTTATTTACTCCTCTTTGAGTTAGTCATTGTCTCTTAAAATTTTTTTGTATCGTTTTATTAGGGGCTCATATAACTCTTATCACAATCCATACATACATCGATTGTGTACACCACATTTGTACATTCATTGCCCTCATCATTCTCAAAACATCCCCTCTCCACCCAGGCCCATGGCATCAGCTCCTTTTCCCTTAAAAATTTAACGACAAATTATTCTTTTCTATCATTTAACTCTTAGAATTTTTTTTAAAAAAAGAACTCAAAAACCTATGCCTTTTTCATAAAAAGGTTTATTGAGGGTAGAAATTCAAAGTTTTAAACAATTAAACTACAAATAAACTTTTAGAACACGACCCACTTTATCTAAAAGGCATTTGTGCAAAAAAAAAATGTGCCTCTGTTGTAATGACTATCAACTGGCAATGGTATTTGCGAGTAAGAATTTCTTGCTCATACTCTCAGGAAATGAGATGATACAAGATTTTAGTCCATGTACTTACTTCGTTTCAAACATGAACAAGTCTAAATCCCTTTACTTACTGAGAAGATAAGAAGGAATGAAATTGAGTAATCATTCATAGATATAATCATGTATGGTTTCAAAACCAGGATTAGAAAAATAGACATCATTTTAAATTTTTACAAAACTAATTACTATGAAAGAACATAATTAAGCTGTGCAAAATGGCACTAAACTGTGGGGGTATATAAACAGTGACAATCCCCAGAAACACTGATTAGATCAGGAAAGACTAGAATCTTGCTATTCTAACTGCACCGACCACTTCTCACTGTAGTTTAAGAAAATGGTTTTGCCAGTGGTGGGGAAGGAGTAATAAGAATGGAAGATATTTGAATTAAAGACAGCCAAGAACTTTCTAGTAGTAGAGTTAAGAGAGCGGATGGTTGAAGTGGCCTGTAGATGAAGTATGATATGAGGAAGGACAAAAACCTAAGGTGAAAAACATTACAAGAGAAAATTCCAAAATGATCATTCTTCGATAATAAAAGCATGAGTTAACAGAGTCATTCCAGAGAGTGGGCAATAGAAATTCTGGGTGATTTGATAAAGGGAGGCAGTAAATGACAGAGTGGAACCAGAAACTCAGTTTCTTAACTCTAAGTTCAGAATTTCTTATTCTAGGCTGGATTTCTGCCTGTGCTGCCACAAGGCAAGCACACCATTGCTTTTCTTTTAGATACAGTTTGTATGAATGTTTCCTCAGTTGATTCGATGACAAAAGACACCTATTATTGAAGGAAGGCCAAATGCTGGTCATCAATAACAAAGTTTTTAACCCGTACCTTATGGTGTTGACTTGTCCTTCGTTTCTTCACTTTCAAAGACGATTAAGAGAAATGACTGGAGGGAAGAGGTCGTACACATTGTCTTGTCTACCATCTTGTGGGGAAACCAAGTCCCAAAGAGAGCAGTACAGAATCTCCGGACTTCTAGTTTAGTGTTTGACTACCCCGTACTACTAAGCTGATCAATAATCCCTTAGAGAGGATGCTCATGGGACCCTGCATGCTGAGCAATGTATCAGTGTAGGGAATTGTTTGACCTCTCACGTTCATTTTGTTGTTTAAGGTTAGGGCAGTAGAGATGATCAGACAAAAATAGGTAAGTGGAAGGAATGATTTTAAACATTGTTTTTTGGGGGAATGGATGAAATGAAGTTGACTAGAGTTTAGAGAAGTCAGTTTTCCACTAGAAGACCCCTAGAAGAATAAGGAGGAGGAATGACTGGGTGCCATGGGGCGTGGGCTAGCAACTGTACCTGCTATCTGATTCCTGAGGTACCTAACAACCCCTTAGGTTAGGGAAGGTGAACCTTCATTTACTCCCCTCCAAGAAAGGAAAGCTCTATAGATAAATTAGGAGTTGGTTACAGGAGTTGTTTACTGGTAGAGGACGATCCATAAAAATGGGACAATACTAATACAGGTAGTCAAGAGCGTCACACAGGAGGCCTCTTTGCACAGGATTAAGCGTGCACATTAATAGGTAGGGTATCTTTGTACTCTATATTAGTGAAACAGGAGGAAGAGGAAATAGAATTGAGCTTTCACTTACTTTGTTTTTTGGAAAATAATAAAAAAACTCTATTATTTTTATTTTGAACTCATCAGATTATGATGTCCTGGGTGTGGGTGGGTTGGTAATGAGGTTTTGTGTAATATAAGCTAACATATATCAAATTCTTCCAGTCGTGAGCCTTTTGAGTTTGATATTCAATACTGTAATTTGGGATCACTGGCACTACTGACTGAATGGGAGGTATAAACTGTACTCAGAGGTTTTTCCCTTTGAAAGGGAATGCCATACACTTTTATGTCTTTAGGTGGTCCAGACTTTATTTCTGTAGAATAAATAAATAAACCAGACTTAAGAATTGGTGGGCTACGCACTGAC